GGGGGGGAGTCCTGGGTTCTGAGAGCGCCATCCCCCGCAGCTCACCATCATCTTCAAGAACATGAAGGAGTGCACGGAGCAGAAGGTTTACCGAGCCGAGCTGGACAACGTGCCCGCAGCCTTCGAGGACGGCTCGGTGACGGGCGGCGAGCGGCCGGGGGGAGTCGGGCTGCACATCCACGAGCGCAGCCCCGGGCGGCACGTGGAGATCCGAGCTCCGTACATCGGCACCACCATCGCCGTGCGCCAGGCCGCCCGTCAGCTCTCCTTCTCCATCCGCGCCGCCGAGGAGGTGACCCGCGCCTTCACGGCCGAGCAGGACCTGCAGCTGTGCGTGGCCGGCTGTCCCCGCAGCCAGCGCATCTCCCGCAGCGTGCGCAGCCGTGCGGCCGTGCAGGCGGCTCGGGCGCTTTGCAAAGCCACGCTGCCCGTGGAGGACGTCTACTTCCAGTCGTGCGTCTTCGACGTGGCCACCTCCGGCGATGCCAACTTCACCATGGCGGCGCGAGGAGCGCTGGAGGACGCCAGGGATTTCCTTCCCGATGCGGAGAAGCTGCACATCTTCCAGGCCGGGGCCGGCTGCCCGCCTGCACCTCCGTCCTTCCTCCTCATCCTCCTCCTCATCATCTGCAGTCTCTGCACTCTCGGGTCACAATTGTGACCCCTCTTGTGACCATTTTGTTGGCACTTGTGACTTTTCTGTGACCCTCGTTGGCACTTGTGACCCTTTGGTTGGCATTGGTGACCCTTTTGTTGGCACTGATGACCACTGTCAGCGCATGTCACCCTTTGGTTGGCACTTGTGACCCTTTGGTTGGCACTGATGACCATTGCCAGCACACGTCACCCTTTGGATGGCACTGATGACCCTTTGGTTGGCATTGATGACCACTGTCAGCGCGTCACCCTTTTCTTGGCACTTGTGACCTTTTTGGGACCCTCGTTGGCACCTGTGGCTCTTGTTGGCAGACATCATCCTTTGGTTGGCACTTGCAATCCTCATTGGCACTGGTGACCATTGATGGTACTTGTGACCCTTTGGTTGGCATTGGTGACCCTTTTGTCGGACCTTTTTGTGTCCCTCATTGGTACTTGTGACCATTGCCAGCGCATTTCACCCTTTTGTTGGCACCTGTGACCTTTTTGTGAACCTCGTTGGCACCTGTGGCTGTTGTTGGCAGACGTCAGCCTTTGGTTGGCACTTGTGACCCTTTGGTTGGCCCTGATGACCATTGCCAGCGCATGTCACCCTCTCGTTGACACTTGTGACCCTTTTGTGACCCTCATTGGCACTGATGACCCTTTTGTTGGCACGGATGACCCTCACTGTGGGGTGCTTCACTTCCGAAGTGCAACAGTAGACTGAATCAAACTGGTGTTGAGTCAAACTGGTGCTGAGTCAAACTGGTGTTGAGTCAAACTGGTGTTGAGTCAAACTGGTGCTGAGTCCGACCCGGCCCGTGCACCATGACGGACGTCCCGGACGCAGTGAGCACGGTGGGAGGGGAGCAGAGGGGCAGAGCTCTGCGGTGGGGTCTCCAGATGCGCCCCTTCCCCTCCGCTGTGCTCCTCTCCCACCTCGCAGATCCCTGCTGCTCCCTCCAGGTTCTCCCCCCACACGAGGATCCCCAAAGACGCAGACGTGGTGACGTTTCCCGCTCTGCTTTTCCTGCAGTCTGACTCGTGGCCCCACATCCAGGTTTTGGGATCACGGAGCGGTGTGGACTTTCCTTCAGAAAGAAATCCGGGTCCCCCACCACGCTGTGGGGTCTCTGTCACCCTACGGGGTTTCCTACACCTCCCGGGCTGCCCTGACTCGTTATGGGATCGCTGGCACCCTATGGGATTCCTGCTGTCAACCAGCGACCCTGACGACTTATGGGGTCTTGGTACCCCACAGGGTTCCTGTTTCCCCATTAAAGCATCTGACATCTTATGGGCACCCCAGGCACCCCAGTAGGGTCCCCACCATCTTATGAGGGTCTTCATCACCCTATGGGCTTTCAAGCACTTCCTGGGATCCCCGGATACATGCTGGGGTCTCTGGCACCCTATGGGATCCCTGGCACTTCCTGGGGACCCCTGGCACATCGTGGGGTCTTGGTACCCCAAACGATTCCTGGTATCCTATTAAAGTCTCTGATACGTCATGGGGATTCCTGGCACCCCAATGGGGTCCCCCCCATCTGATGGGAGTCTCTGGCACCCTATGGGATCTCTGACACCTACTGGTGACCCTTGACTCCTTACGGGGGTCACAGGATTCCTGGCATCCCAGAAGAGTTCCTGACCCATGATGGGGGTCTGTTATGGGGATCCCTGGCACCCTAAAAGGGCCGCTGCCATGTGATGCAATTGATGGCACCCTATGGGGTTTCTGGCACTTTCTGGGGACCCCCTGACACCTTATGGGGTCTCGTTACCTCACAAGATTCCTGGTGCCCCACTGAAGTCTCTGACATGTTACGGGGATCCCTGGCACTCCAATAGGACCCCAACCATGTGATGGGGTTTGTGACACCCTATGGGGTTTTTGGCACCTCTTGGGGACCCCTGGCACATTATGGGGTCCCTGGCACATTATGGGATCCCTGGCACCCTATGGGGTTTTTGGAACCTCTCGGGGACCCCTGGCACATCATGGGATCCCTGGCACATCATGGGATCCCTGGCACATTATGGGATCCCTGGCACTCTATGGGGTCTTTGGAACTCCCAAGGGGACCTTTGCCACATTATGGGATCCCTGGCACCCTATGGGGTTTTTGGCACCTCTTGGGGACCCCTGGCACATTATGGGGTCCCTGGCACTCTATGGGGTTCTTGGAACTCCCAAGGGGACCCTTGCCACATTATGGGATCCCTGGCACCCTATGGGGTCTTTGGAATTCCCAAGGGGACCCTTGCCATGTTATGGGATCCCTGGCACCCTATGGGGTTCCCCACACACTGGGGCATCCCTGGCATCCCAGTGAGGCCTCTTCTTCCTGCTGCTCTTCTGCTGCAGGCACAGAGCGACCCAGAAGGAGCCATTTCTTCCCCAGATCAGCGTTTGGCCCCCGCCGCCCCCCCCCCCCCCCCCCCCCCCATGCTGAGTGTGGGGTTTCTCTGCTCTGCGTCCGCTGCTCCCGTCGCTCAGCCCGCAGCGCTGTGACATTAAAGGGCGCTATTTTGGAAGTCCTCACTTCCTGACACCCGATAACGTCTCCCCCCTTCCACCGCCCGCTGCTGCTGCGACTCCACAGCCCTCTGTGCTCTGCACACCCCCAGGCTGAGGGAGGGTCTGCCCTGCAGTGCTGCAGCCCCCAGGGATGAAGGTCCCCGTGGTGCTGGCACTGCCTGTGTCCCCACGGCACCGCGGAGCAGTGGGACTGACCACGGGTGGCAGCGCTGGCACACAGCAATGCCGTGCAATGCAGTGTCATAGAATGACAGAATGGTTGGGGTTGGAAGAGATCCTATAGGTCACAGAGCCATGGGATCACGGCACAGTTGGGTTGGGGGGACCCTACAGATAACAGAACCATGGGATCATGGCATGGTTGGGGGGACCCTACAGATCATAGAGCCATGGGATCATGGCAAGGATTGGGTTGGAAGAGACCCTACAGATCACAGAACCATGGGATCATGGCATGGTTGGGTTGGGGGACCCTACAGATCACAGAAGCATGGGATC